CCGGATTTATTTTTACCTCGGGTTTCATTGTCTAAAGGAAATTTGATATTGCACTCCCGGTATAATGCAATTTGTTACGTAAATAATTTCTGTTATTAACAGTAAAGGGTTTGGTAATCAAATCTGACCAACGCAAATCGTTCATTCGTAAATTTTAGGTAATATCTTTTGACCAACTCTCACAGGTAGCACTTAACCCTTAAGTAGTATCGAGGGGCAGTTTGATACCCCAGCGACTATATTTATTTTGTTCATAATTAATATTGCGACCCATTACCTTGTGCATCCAACTGTATAAAACACAGACGACGGGGAAGTCGCTGATTTTTATTTTCCAGTATTATATTTTGTGAATTTGTAATGCCCCACGGATACTACGTAGTTGTCAATACCAATTAAGGGTTACAAGGGTTACTGTCGTTGATAATACTCGTTAGCTTGGTAATTGGAATTTATCAATACTTAAATATTTGAGAAGTATGTTTTGGCGTCCAAGGTATCGATGCATTTCTTTAACTCAGGAATCAAAGTTATTCCTTGTTACGAGTAGAATCATGTCTGTTTTTACTGAACAGAGTCATCGAGATACAAATAATAGCGGAAATTTGAGGTACGTGTCTAAACTTTTTATTTATTATTAAGTAATTTAAGTATTTTACAGCTTTAACAGATAAAATTCATAACTTATGTAGACCTTAGATGAATACTCCATTCGTAGGGAGTAAAACAAAATGGTGGACATTCGATGAGTTCTGCTCAATGTCTGGTTGGTTTTGTGCGAAATAGAAGATTTCTGATTGCTTTGGTAACGGCAATGAAATGGGCTGTTATTGCTTTCGTGATTTTAGTACGTTTTATGACAATTTGCACGTGAGATGCAGCTGTGCGAAAGGTTTCTGGTTTATGGTAGCAGTCCTCCAGGCGTGAGGGTTACTATTGACGGACCCAAGACGCGACGGTCACTGCAACCTTTCTTTACCTGCGTTTACGGGCGACCAGGAGTTATATTAACATGTTTGTGATTTCTGGATCATAGTAGTATAAGAACAATAGAGTCTTGGAACACCGATGCGCCGAAATGCGAAGCAACATTCACCGTTCATTCTTTTATGGATGTAACAAGACCAAAGTGTAGTGTAGTGACCATAGTATCTGTGAAATTGTGAAGTGATTAAAATATTAGTAATCGAGAATCGTGTATGAAGTTGAAAATCACAGGGTAAGTATTAGAATTTCTTAATTATAAACGAATCAGTGCTTGTATAACACATTTCAAGGGGCAATACGCTACATATGTACGTAGATTGTACAGCATCGAAAGAGAAATCATAACGTATAGGGGCTGTTTTATAACCACGGTTCATAAATATTTCATTTGCTTCGAATGCCACTTGAAAGATAACTAAGTAAGAGTTGCGACAAGGTGGTCATGCGACATTGTACATTTCCCACAACTATATTCGATCGTTTTAAAGTACTTATCAGTACTTGTACCTTCAGCCCGTGCGACACGATTACAACCGAAACATGTAAACGCTTTTACTGTGATCGCCATGAACGAAAAATAACGCATTATACATTATTTATCATTGATCTTTTGCTCGACGACTCATTTCGATATCCATTTGATGTCGTAACGCGATGGTTGGAAATTAATACGTATGGAGTGTACGTCATTGAATCATGGTTACTAGGAACTGAAACTGATCGTTCAGTTGTCACAGAAGCGCGTTAGACGTGCCTCAAAAGGGAGGATTCAGCCCCCCTCAACAGTCATCGGGACATTCCCGTATGTGCCTTTCGCGTGCAACCTCGGTTTCGCGCGCGATGGAACGGTGCAAACGGTTCTGTAACGCTTTCCGCGTATATCTCCGATCGAACTTCCCTCTTCCTATAACGACAATCACGTGGAACAACAGAAACTACTTACCTTGTGACGGAGAGTATCGTAGCGATCTAAAACGGCGGAGATAAAACAACCGTCGAATTGCATGTCACCGAGACGTTTCGATCGGTCGTGATCCGTTTCCGGTGGATTCGAGGCGATATCAGCCTCGGTGATTTCCAAGGGAAAGAGTGTGCAACGTTAGACATCGATCTCGATCGAGTTCGGGCTGTATTGTCGCCTTTGATGTCCGTGGCATGTCGTAGGTCGGAATTCTGCGCCCTGGAATGGGAGATGTCGGCTGTGTTTCGTGATCTGATACCGCTCACGAAGAGAAGTCTCTTTAGATAAGAGAAACGCGTATGATCGATTTCTGAATGCGTCGTTTCGGGCACGTTTGTGGCGTCAACCGATTATCCGTGGAATACAATATGGAGTTTGCATTCCGTCGGACGTTACTAATCGTCAAAATATTGCAACGATTCGGTTCTCTCTATAATTGTTATATGAATATTTACGTATTATGTACTGAATCTCTGATCTGCGACTACAAGAAGAGGACAAGTGTTATTGAGAACTGAAGGAACCTTAAAAACAATATATAAATTTAAGAAAGAAAACGGTTCAAGTCCAAAGTATTTACGGAAAAGAACATTCCATAAAATACACAATAGAGATTTCCGCAACCCCATTGGCTATCCAAAAAATTGCTTGACCGCCATAAGGTTCGACAACCACGCCGACGTATCTACGATTTTTATCTTGTCGTTGAGAACACACTCGAAGATCTCTACTTCGAATCGGCTTGAAAATCCATAGTGACCAAATATATATCGTCGATATACATTGGAAACTGTCCACCGATAAATCGACACCATTGTTGGAGCTAGCCAACAGTCGGCAGCCATCGCAAACTCAACGGAGATCCGCGGATAAACCGGAACGATCATCGAACTTAACAAGCAGTTCTCGTCGGGACACTGCAAACGACATCGAATCTATTCAGAACCAACGAAAATTCCCGTCTCCGTTCGTGTGCGTCCCCGAGATAGTGGGACAAAGAGGATCCTGCCGGTGCGTAGGAGTGGTATGAGCACTAGACAAGGACGGGAGGCCGCCGTTGGAATAGGTGTAATCGTTTAACGCGCACGATGGTATCTCTGCGAGCGTCGCGGGTTGGGCTTGTTAGCGCCATGCTGCCTCGGCGATTGGCCGGTTGGCTCTCGTCGTGGGCGTGGCCAACGAGGCGGAAGGGGATCGCGGGAGCCCCAAGGGTTAGAACTGCGTTGTCCACGGGTGGAGCCCCTTACGCGGTTTCGTTCCCCCTCCCGACGTATTGTATTGTATTTGTATCGGGTCTACACGCACAACGGCCGGGCATTGCGAACCCATCGTTGGTGTGTTGTGTCGTAACGGAGACAGAGTGGGAGAAGCTGCCTCGCTCCCAGGAGCAATTCCGGACAGGACTGGGGTAGAAGGTGGCGGCCGGCCCGACGATCGCGTCGAGGTTACTCCTCTGACGAGGAGGTAAGTCCACCACCACCACCTCCACCACCACCGGCCCGTTCCAATCTATGCCACGGTCTCCTGACTTATGCTACGCCCGGCGGGGCCGCCAGTGCACGACACGCTTCTACCAGGCGAGCACCGGGTTCTCCGTGCTCGCTCTCACCTCCGCGTCTGTCTCTGCCTCTCGGGTTTCGGCTCGCGAATCCGCGTTTTTCTCGCGCGACGCGTCACCGCGGAGAAAAAAAAAAAGTGTCCGGCAGGAGAGGGAAACTGTGCTCAGAAGAGGGGGGGGCGGCGCCGAGGACGAAGGGGGGGAGCGAGCGACGGTGGGCTCAGTTTCCGCGCGCACGTGACGCGATCCGATCGGGAAGCGCGTTCTGACGGCCTCGCGTACCCTCGCGGTTCTTTGACGTTAGAATTGCGCAGCCCGTGTCACGTGATATCGTGAATGTGTAACCCCCGGGGTCGCAATACCGAGTGACCCGAAAGAAAGAGGAGGATACCAGTGTGAGAGTGTGTGTCAAAGTTGTGTGAGAAGATAATAGATCCCGGTGAACCTGTCGAACCTCTCGATGGAAGGTGACACTGCACGGGCTTCGGTTCCCGAAAACGATCGACGCGGGATCGCGATCGGTGGTGCAGTGACATTGGTCAGTGTCGACGAGTACGTCGAACAAGAGAAGTGATCGACTATACGGTGACAGTGAACTCGAGTTATTTGTGGGTTGCAAGAGCGCACGGAGGAGCTTTCGTCAGGCTGGAAGATGAGTTTCTGTCACGGTGGGGTCTACCATGATCCGAAACTCTCGGTGTATCAGAAACGGTGGTACGGTAACCGGTGATCGGTTCCAATGAATTGCCCGTAACGACCCTGTCGAATCGTGACGCAAGTGAGTGAGATACGACCGGTAACTGTCATCGAGTGTGACCAATGGTGGAATGAAATCTCCATTCGACTCAGACGCGTTTATTAGCAGTGATACGTCGCCGTCGTTGGACCGTAACTTGCGGCGAGTGTGATCGACGGTGAACCAATCGACACTATCGGTTTCCGTTTCGTCCAGCCTGTTTTCGAAACGAATTCTCCGGTTTCCCGCGATCCGGCGCGAAAGGAGGCGCAGAGGTGTACGTTTTCAGAGAACAGCTGTCGCAGCTGCATTGTCCCGACGCTCAGCACCGGAATCGGGAGTCGAGTACTCGACGCCGGCAGCTGGTCGACCCGTCAGCGACAGACGACGATGACGTAGCGTCGGCGGAAACGAAGGGCGTCACGGTCTGCACGGTGTACGCGCTGGACAGGACCGCCTCGGCGGGGCTGGGGGTGGTTGGGGGTGTCGTCGGTGTCGCTGGCGGTGGAGGAGGCGGAGGGGGAAGTGGCGGCGGTAGCGGGAACAGCGTCGGGGTTGGAGTGCCGGGGGTGGTCGCTGGGATTTGTGGACCAGCGAGCGCGTCCCTCGCGGCGGCGACGGATTACGTGACGGCGGCATGCTATCCCCCGGGATCTCAGCTCGCCCTGACCGCCTCTCACCCTCAGCCCCACGTCGTTGATCCTGCGATGACGCCCACCTCGGCGCCGGTGCCGACACCGACCACGGCGTCGGGACCCAACAACCCGGTCGCCATGAGCCAGCTGGGAACCGTTTACGCCACCAAGAGGCGACGTCGGAATGGGAAAAGGTTGGTAACGTTCTATTGGGCTGATGCATGTAAACAGGGTCTTTCTCTGAATTTATGCGGCATGCAGACACGAACCTGTGTCGTGCAAATAGTGTTGCCAAACTGAAGCTCTAAGGAGCTTGGCTACTGCTTACTCCTTTGTTTTGGAAGTCACTAAAAGCTGAGGTCAAGCATGGTCCTCTTGCCAGAGGGTGCTTCACCTAACTCTGTGAGGTAATGCAACGTCTGGTTGCTTGCCTCTCAATACATTCAGCCATACTTGAAACAATGAATGGGAAGGCATTCGATACCTCCGCCACTTTGAGACACCAGCCATAGCCGGGCGACCGCCCGCGAGGGTGCATTGCTTTCGTCAAAGACCCATTCAGTCCTCGACCCAGCCATAAATTTTATGTGTCTTCGAAACATTTCTAAAATACGTCAACGCTGACACACATGACTATGTCACCAAGAGACGACGTCGGAATAGGGAAAGGTTAGCAGCTGTATAATTCCCTTCCTAAAAACGATGGCGGTTATATCGAAAGAAATTGAGCAAAAGGCGCCCCCAGACGTCGAGTCGCGAGCTTCTATCCCCCGATTACACGTTGTCCCCCGTTCAGTTGGAAAATTGACGAAGGAAAGCAGGGGTTTGAGAGCGCTAATTTGTTGGCCATTGAGAAGAACGATAGCCACGAAGTATCGTGTCCCAGCGCATATACAATTCATGTGTCTACTAAAGCCGGCGCTAATGGGATCGGAGGAGGGTGTTCACGCGTGAAGCGCGTCCGATTGTGGACTTAACGCTGCTCGCCGTTTCAGAGACATACTATTTCATCCGATTCACCTTTCGAAGAGCCTATAGACGAACGATTCTTGCATGAATTCTATCGATTACGCGCTAACACGACACTGTGTCCGTCTATAGATCGTAAATTACAGTGCTCGTCTAAAGATTCGTCATTATTGCACTAAGGCGGAACACCACTAGGGGAAACTTTGATTTTAAATGTTTGACGACTTTGCAATTACGGCCGGACAATCGTTTCGTTTGAAATTTTCTTACTGCCTCGTTTCGCGTTGCAATATTCATTTGAATTTTTGCTAACAGTCGCTACAAGTAAATGAGCACATGATTCTTCCGTTCAGTGGTTCGTCTAAAGAAATGTAGACGCGGAGCGTTGATTATTTCCGTCCGAAAATGAATCTTTAATCGCGGCACATTGTTCAGCGGGGAATAAAAGCATTAAAACACCCGGTACAATTAAAAACAATTTGCTACTCACAGTGACTTTGCAATCTGCACGTCAGTGGCTGAACGTTGAAGCAAAGTTTCGGGCTTAACTTTAGGCGAGGTAAGAAACCCATCAGATTACGAGCAATTAAAACTCTTGCTTCGGTGTTGAATGTTCGTTTCCAGGGATATCGTTCGCGGACACTTGAAAAATTAAGGCAATCTCTGCCGCTTGGTCCCTTCGTGACGATCTCGCACGTTCCGGGAACTTTGCTTTTTCTTTTGCTCCTCCGCGAGTAAATGCGCGCTTACACGAGCTTCCGTCTGTGCGTTTTCAAGCTTATGTACGAGTCGGGAGAGTCGATATTGCACGCTCGTATCTCCACGCCGTTAACAAAGGAGGATGGAATGTAAAAGCTTGGGGGCTAAATTGTGTTTTAAACATTTATCTCGAACGGCTGAATTTGACGCGATACTCTTTCCCGGGTAAATTGTTTATTTTTTCCCCTGGAAACGCGTTCGAGAAAAAGGTCCATGGTAGCGTGCGCGCGTGCGCGAACCTGCAGATTTTTAATTTGCCCGCCGCGGCCGTACACGGAAATGCACGGCGAGTACACGCGCGCTTGAACGCGACGCTCAGCGCGCATAAATATGGGCGCTAGTGCGCGGGACACACGATACATATACACGTGTGTAATGTTCGATACATCAAGAGAAAGATAGACCGGGGATAACCGGTGCTAAGCTGACAGAGATGGAGTGCGGCACTGATTGCGAGGAGAAGGGGGAAGGGCAGAACCTCTGGCGGAGGAATATCCGTCTGAACTTTACTTGAATTGTTTGCATACGATGCTCGTAATTAGCTGAGATATACTCCGAATCGGAGTAAACTTCTTTATTTTCCATCGCATTCCGTGGCTACTTCACCTCGTGAATACGAATTGCGAACAATGTGACTCGTTCAAGAATAAGCAGTTAAAGATAAATGCAAAACTGTTGGCTCGAAACGAGGATTAATGAAGCCGTTTTCTAGATAAATTGAGAAACAGATGCGAGGGAATACGTAGTTGCGTAATATAATTTCCACCTGATCAATTGTTTCGCGGAGCGACAAAGACGATGTCGAGCACGGGGTTGTTAAGGGGGGTGAAGTTGTCGTACCGAGTTTTACAATTATAATTATGATTGTTTATCGATAAACGGGCATGCATATTCACGGCGGGAGAATAAGTAAGGTGCATAAAAAAGACGCGTGACATAATCAACCGATAGGGTAATTTAAACCAACAGCGTTGCTTTATTATAACGACTCACGTTTCACGAATATATTTTCCATTCGTCGATATTTGCGTTGCGCCTTATTATGTATATTTTTCTGCGGATAAGTCGTGCACTCGCGCCGCGTAGGGTGAAATACGGTTCTCCTTTCTTTCCTCCTGCGAAGAAAACTCGTAGCACAGTATAGTTTTTTTTAAGTCTAAGAAACTTTCACCCGACACTGGAAGCCATTGCGTTACGTAGATTACTCAACTGAGCAGAATCATAGAATTTCTGAAAAGAAAAAAATGCGTCGTTGGAAGGAGGAAACAAAGGAGCCCGCGTTGGGGGTTGATCCTCCTGAACGTTCCTCGATCGGCCGCGATCGTCCATGGATCCCAGGAACGTGTCACGTCCGACGATCGACGGGTCCGTTTGCTGTTCGAACGCGAAGCCTCCACGCAGACGTACGTACGCCGTGATCACGAGGATCACGAACGGGCGTAATGGAGTTTTAAACGGTGTTTCGAGGCGTACGGCCGACGATTCTCTTCTCATTCCTTCCCGGCAGCTTCCCTTTGATACGATAAAGAAGAGGGGAAAGAATGAGACGGACTGGCAGAGCGTGGCCTGGGGCGATCCGTCTGGTTCATTCTCCGCTTCTCCTTTAGCTCCTATGGATCCAAGGAGTCCTTCCCTCGGGCACTGCTGGTCCTAGGCGAATGTACGTTTAAGGACGCGGATCTTCTCCGCGTTTTCTTTCGCTCCACATTAAGTTTTGACTTCCATGACGGGGGTTCGAACCTGGAAACCCCTTTTCAAGCGGTTGTTCTTCGATAGTAGCTGGTACTGGTACCGTTTAATTCCTTGTGATTAATATTAGTAGGATTCTAGCTACGCCATTGCGTTTCAGTCAATTATCACCGAGTGCAGTTGTGTTAATTGAATGGTTCTTTTACTAAAATCCTGGGGGAAATGTCGTTTTCTGACGGTCAGCGAGGCACTCGATCGCTAACGATTCGAGGAGTCGAGTTTCCCAAAAATTCTCGAGGGTTCGGGGAAGAAGGTGGCCCCGCGATACACGATGCCCGCCGCGGCCTAATGACAGCAGCTTCTATAATTTGGAGTTTTTGAGCGAACGGCCAAATTACCGGCGAAGGAAGGGATTACTGTTATTACACACGGCCGCGGACTCAGTCGAAACCTGATTATACTTTAGTCAGTTTCTCTCTCGGTCTTGACTCGTTCGACTGTCAGCTTCGCTCTCGTTCGGCGGGCCCCGATCTCTTCGGGCCCCGCGATTCCCCAAACGACCCTTCAACTACGCGAACCACGCTCTGTCGAATCCACCGACATTCGCGTTCCTCTTCGTTAGGCGACGCCTCGCTCTAGAATGCGAACGCTCTGGCGTAACAGGTTAGTTCTGGTTGCAGGAGATGATCAAATCAATAAACATTTCCAACGCTGATAGTTCTAGCGTTGAATTTAAGGGATGAAATCTCCAATCTTCAGTTTCTTCTCCTAGCTTTCAGCGAGCATTAAGATTTCAAAAAGTGCCGGTGCTTTCGTGGGAAAGCGAACGACGATTTCGATGCATTTAGAGCGTAGCCGCGATTCAAATTCAAAAGGTAGAGCAGGTTCCAAGTTTCGCGCTCGGTAACATGCGATCTTTTAATTACGCGGCCCAACCGGCAGAGTCCATGAACGGCCCGCGCATTCTGAAATTGCTACGAGAGCAACTAAAGAACCATTCGCGAGGAGGTCGATGATTTCTTGATGGACAGCAGCCGTCGTGCCGGGTTTCGGCTGATTAGTTCTTAAGTAATTGCCGCGCGTCCTTATGGTCTTCTAACGTGCGTTTATAGCCTTGTAATGAACCTGCTTCTGAGACCTTTGCTCCATTCAGGCTGCCAGAGATCTTGGGACCGATCCCCAATGCCCTCTCCTCGGTTGTCCATTAAAGGGTCAAACTTCCTTTCTTCTAAGCGTGCAGTAAAAGATTTCAGCCGGTAGTATTTCCTGTATCACTCTTGTTTCTCAGAATTGGTATCCTTAGATTTTAGCGATGCTGATATACCGGGGTTACACGTGCAACCTGTACATATAGGGATTAGGGAAAGTCTTCTGGCGTTGTAGCATTAGCCCCCAACCGATTGTCTGGTGGAATCTATTTAATTAAACTGGTACGGATCAACATACTCCTTTCGGAATGAACATTCATCTTCGATGAGGTACACAGAGCGATTTCCTCCATTAAAGCTAACGAACTCGAACTTCGCCGGAGTCAACGGAACGCCGTCGGAGAACGACGGTTAAATATCGTACGATCGAGGCAAGATTTAATTCCGTGGCCGAAGGAGGATATCGTTTACCTACTTTCTACGTCGCAGCGAGCACAAGCTGTAATTTAATAGACTCCCCTCGCGTTAGCCGGCGCCGTGATGCGTTTCGCTCGTGCGAGAGATATGTATAGCCCCAGCCGCGACAAGACCATTATTGCTGGAACACTCATAACTCCCGTAACCGGCCA